AGAAGGGCCAATGTGCACCTCCTGCACCTCTAGCATACCCTAAAAAGTGAAACAGGGTGAAGAAACAAAACTTAGTCAAAAGCCAAAAATTACAATAAACTGTGTATGCCTTTTGTTTCCCCCACCTCCCAAATTTGTTCAAAATTCTAAGTTACAGGAAATTCTTAAGCCAACAGAAGATGGCATAATAACATTGAAGAATTAGATTGGGACACTCAAGGTAAAAACTTGAATAAATTTTTATGTCGCTCTTCCTAGTTGCTAGCTATGCAAACAGCCAAACAATTACTCAGATAGAACAATAGGATGTCATCAAATTAAGTCAATCTTCATATCTTAATCTACCAGCCATGCAAAGAAAAAGTTGCTTAACTAGAACAGAATTAGAAAATAGCACATGATTCAGAGACCAAAAAAAAGCTCAAAGATTCCATACTTGAGAAATGAAAGCCTCAAGAATTGCTGTGGCTAAAATGAAGTGAATGAGAAAATCACTCACCTGAGTCTTTGCATCCATCATTATTAATCTCCTCCTTCACCACTAACACCGACTGTTTTGAGTTCAAACCCAAGAAATCCCTCTCCATCTCAGCCCACAATCACTCAGAAAAAGAAATACAACAAACATACAAGCAAATCCACCTGAAATCCAAGCCAACAAACCCTTCAACCAGACCCTGAGCTAGCTGCGAGAAACTAATAAAAAGCTTCCAACTACAGCAAACAAAAATGAATAAATAAAGCACCGGACTGAGAGAGAGAGAGAGAGAGAGAGAGAGAGTGTTGTTTTCGACAGAGAAGGGAGAATTATAAGAGATCTTGACCGTTGATTTTTTTATAAAAAAAACTGATTAAGATGAAATAGGAAGCATATGTGTGTGTGTGAGTTACCGATATTATCCGGTGAAGGTGACCGGCTGGTCCGGTAATGACACCACGTGCGCGAAGCATTTTAAGTGACATGGTTGGTACCATATTGGTTCCCAACTGTAGAGGTGTGAGGCTGTGAGTGAGTGGTACCGCAGCAAATGCGCACTCCAAAAGTAGACACGTGATGGTTTAGATAAACTCGTGAACAAATAGATGGGCATAATAGGCTTCTCCTCGATGAAGAGATGTTTCACACGAGCAACATTGAGAGGAAGGAATTCGAACACAAGACCTCCTACAATCATTTACTTGAGTTATAAGTCTCTTGTCTCGATATCTGACCAATTTAATCACCGGACTTGGAGACCCTCGAGTATTATTCAATTTGCAAATACAAGCAGAAGAGTTTATAAAGTGACAAGAACAAAGCGTGGGTTATTTAAGAAAAATATTTAGGTGTGACTGTAATTTTATAGTATTCGGATGGACAATATTAAGAGTATAAATCAACGGTCTAAATGATTTCGGATCTCTCCATCCATTTTCAATTTTGAACTCATGAATACTTCAACTCTAAAATGGTATCAATCAAGAGTTTGCTAGCAAGCATGGTGAGATGGTGAAATGAAAGCACGTTGTTCAAATTTATATGAATGAATTAGGCAATTGGGTTGGGGGAACTTGGAAACTTGGGAAGGGGAAAAGTAGTATTACTACTAATAGCGCACCTACCACTATAGAGTATGGGCCATCTTTATTCATTCATTCCCCGATTTCACGTGTCACTCACTCACTCACTCACTCTGCTTTTGAACAGAAGAGAACAGAATTTTCCAGTCTCTCTCAGCACCTTTCCTTTGAGCTTTGAGCTTTGAGCTTTGAGCTGTGAGCTGTGAGCTGTGAGAGTCCCCCACTCGTTTAATTTCTGTGGTGCACAAGTAGCACGTGTTGTAATTATGAAAGGCTTGGATTGGATCTCCTTTAGATGATTTAGATTAAGAAATAACCATGCAATTATGACAATTTACCATATTCATTCAAATATATGGATCCGTTGTGCAGTAAGAAAGATAGTGGTAGGGTCTTCCAGTTTCCAAACCATATGAATGTGATCCCTTCCCTTTTAAGTCACACCGATCCTGGTAATATCGTACTGGTTGGTGTCATTTCCGCATATACATATATATATATATATATATATATGTACAGTATATATCTCCTTCCTGTTTTTCTTTGCTTCTTTGATGGGACCAGACCAGACCAGATCAGAGTTGTTGTTGACCAATGAAATAATGCACCATGTGAGGGGTTACATCACATACACTATACATACATATACAGAATATTATTAGTAATTAGAAAATGATGGCCTTCAAATTCAATTCAACAGTGAGGTAATGAGGAAGAAAGAAACCCCAGCACAGCACAGAACAGTAATGGAATGGTGGTAGAAAGTTCATGCTTCCTTCCTACCAGCACAGACAGTAAAATTACTATATATATATACCAATTAAGCATCATCATGGAATGGAACAGACAACAGAAAGCAAAGCAGAGAATTAAACGCCGTTATCATTCCAAAAGTTGAATATCTACTCCAACATTTTGCACCCTTCATATATACTGAGATGAGATTTTTCACTTTCTCTCTTATGATTATGATCTTTTTTCTTTTCTGGAGGGGGTAGGGTTTTTAACGTAAATTAATTCACAAACAAGGACCGAAATGTTATTATTTATTAATTTACATGTATATCATATATGTATGTGTATAATATGTATTTTGGAGCTCTATATTTTTATATGCAAATTTAGAGAGACTCCAATTATTATTATCTTTGAATGAACAAAACCATGTGCTAACTAAGGGTCACTTTAACTTATAGAAAAATAGACATAAGGAAATTTTTTTTTTAATAAAAAAAATTGTGATAAATTTATTCATTTTTTAGTTTCTACTCCTCCTCTATATATATATATATATATATATACTAGCCTCTCCACACGCGTTTCTGGGCCTGCAAGAGGCTTTTTTAAAAAACATTTAAATTTATTTTAGAATTAAAAAAGATACTGGGTAGTTGTGTTCCATAAAAATAAAATATATTATCTGATTTTTCTTTTAATTTTAAAATTTTTTAATATGAAAAAGTGTTAATTTATCATATTATCCAAATTTAATTAATAATTTCAATTCTTAATGTTTGTATTAACCAAGAGTATTTTCTGGTATTTTGAATGTTTTACCTTTTCTTGCCTTTTGCTTTATATATATAGATATACAGTGCAAACTTTGATTTCTATGGGCGTGGCACTCACTGACACAACAGAACAGAAGGTAAGGTATATATATAAAAAAATGGCAGATTAATAGTTTAATTTCGAATATACACATTTGAAATAGGAAAAATATTGGGTTTTCATTATTTGAAACAAAACATATATATATATTCTCTCATCATCACCTTATGACATTATAATATAGACCTTTTGGTTTTATATGAGAAATAGAATAATCAAAATATTCTCTTCCAATCGAAGCCCCGTAGCCACATGTCAAATTGTCTATGAACATTAAACGACGCATAAGCCGTCACTAAACTACGTACAAAATGATGAATGATGGTTTCTCTTTTTAGGGTTGTTTTTCCGGTTGTTTGTGTTTGTGTGTCAGCTGTCGCCTGTAGCCTGTCGCTGATGGGGAGCGGAGTTTCCAGGCAAGCGAGTCCCAATTGAGTGTGAAACAACAGTGGAAAGAAAGCAAGAAAGAAAGAGAAGAATAGCAAGCAAAGCAAAGGAGAAAGAAAAAAATAAGCATTTGGAAATGGTGATAATGATAATGATAATGAAGGGATAGATTAGCAGCAGCGGGACCACATTTCATTCGACACCATGCATATCTCAACAACTAGTCTGGGTGCATTTATTTACCTTCTTTTTTTTTTCACTTGTAATTCTCACTCAATAGTTGGTGAGGAGGAGAGTGGGATGCTTCATGTTTTTAACTGATTTTGTATTATATATAGCTGAGTGAGTGCTGGGTGACCAAGAAAGTTACTGAGTGAGAGAGTACTAGTTGTCTTGTCTTGTGCCGGAGGAAGCACACCATGGCACGATAATAATTGAATTGAAAGGGGGATTAGATTTTGGGGTCTTGTTTTTGGATACTTGAATCAGAAAGAAAGTTCATCTTTTTGAAGAAGTTGCATGCATAATGCATTGCTGTTGTTGATAGACAATGACAATGGACCCATGTCTCCCTCCCATCACATTCACATTCACAATCACATGTGCGAAGCTTTCGTTCCTCGTTTTAGATATGTTTTTTCGAGTTTTTGAGATCCAAACAAGATTTTCCATGTGATGTGCTTTCTTGTTCATCGGTTCATCAGTCGTGCTCATGACCCAAGGACATGCGTCATTGCAATTCTGTGACACAGGTAATGAATGGATGGCAAAATTTAACACGAGTGTTACTTTTTGTTTCATGTCTTTTTTTTAAATTTATCATTCATAGAAAAGAATAGAAGAAACATCTTCCTGTTTTTTCTTTTCTTTTATTGCTTTGCTTTGGGTAAAGAGGGTGGGTGGTGGAAAGGGTGTTCTGGAAATTCGAGGAGAAACATGTTTATTTACTGAGATAATAGTTGAGAATACCACCTCATAAGCTATGCGTTTTAAGGGGGCTTGTTTACCCATAAAATAGACTAATGGTCTCTGTAATTTATTTTCTTTCTTTCTTTCCTAGTCAGAGACACAGAGGAATAAAACTTGAGTAATTTAAAAAGAAGAACATCAACTGCTGCATTTCATTCGACATGTTTTACGGGGTCTGTCTGACTTGACTTCTGAATATTTTTATGGTTTTCTCCCAATATAAAACATGTAAAAAAGGAATCAAAGAAAAGTTGTAGGAGTTCCACTGTCAAAGTTTCAGTGAAAATGTGTATGTGCGGAAGAAATATCTTAAAAAGAAGAATGAAATGCTTTTTGAAGCTGTTGCAGGATGGCAGAGGAGAGACAGAGCACTAGTATTTTAGATTCATTCAGGTCATAAGGGCTGCTGCATTGCGTGTTTCGTTTTCTGGAAACAAACATGAATGATAAAAATAAAAATTAACACCAAATAATGACTTCATCAAGATTAAAAAGATCAAATTCATCGTACAGACATTTTGGCATTTGGTCACGCACAAATCAAGATCACAGAAAATACATGCTTCATCAAATGTGTGGTCAGGTCTGGTGGTATAAGGTGAAAAATTGATCTCCAAATACAATCTGGTTGAAAATTACAGTATGAGTGGGAAAAGCATATGATATGAAGAAGCTGAGAGGTTCATACCAAGAATGGAGACTATAGAATCATGTCTCAGGGCTGCAACACAAGGGGATATATGCAGCTACAAAGCTTATACAGGAGCAACAGCTGAACCACTTGTAAGCGGTTCACTAATCTCAAGGAGTTCATTACACAGCCCCGTGAAAACAACAGAATCGGTTTCAATAGGTTTAAACTTGACAAGAGCTGAGGGGACCAAATCCTCATCAGCTAGTGTTGCAGCTTTCTCCCCTGCTCTAGGAAAATGGGGGATCACCCGCCGTTTGATAGCTACAGGATTTAACAGCTCAAATTCCAAACTAGGCTCTTTCAATGCCGAGCTCACATACTGGTTCATCAAGACCAAGCAAAAATTAAAAAGAAAAACTTTCCAACTTATAATCTCAAGTAAACGCAAAAGTCAATATTAACTTTGAAGCCAATTGATTATAATATATCCTGTTTCTTTGTGTCTTCTTTGTTTTCCCCCTATTTGGGGCTGAATACATAATAGTTTTCTAACCAAACTTGTCTTAAAAGTCGAAGACTACATCCATGCATACATCAAAGACTAATCATAATCTGCAGGATAATACATAATATTAAAAATCTGGAGAAAATGCAGATTTCTATAGTTGTTGACAAATTATACAATTTTTGTTTCTTAAAAAAAATGAATGGTTTTATAGCAGGCAGTTTAAATAAACCAAGGGAGAAGCTATGGGGAAATAGGAATTAGTAATTCTTATGAAACGAACCACAACTGTATTTCAAATATGTCACTTGTTCAGAAAAGAACTAGAAACAACATATCTATATATTTACATGTACGGTACTTACAGCATATTCATTTTCACCCTGTTATATATCTAAACTACACTCATAGAATCAAAGACAACTAATTAAAACATTAGGAGGATGGTGAAAGACTAACCTCATATAGAGAGCTAGTTGAATCCCAAGGAGAAAAAACACCCTGGAGCACCACTCCATCGGGAAACTGGATTCGGACAACAGTTTTTCTGTACCTGTTTTTAGCAGCTTTTGCCTGCTTTTCCTTGTATGACCTTGGGATCAACATCTGTGAATCTTCAATCTTCTTCTTTCTCGTTTCTGCTTCTCTTTTTAGTTCCATAGCTGACAGGTTATAGAAAGATTCTGGTAGCTCAATTCTTGCTGCTACACTTTCAGAGACAGAAAAGAAGACCTTGGTCTGAACAAACCAAAAATTTAAGAGAATGGATGAGACATAAATACTATAACAGGAAGCACTAAACAATGGCCATACAAAATAAAGGAAGCTTTTAACACACTTAGAATGGAGTTCAGTGTAACCAGTAAGGGTGAACATGGTATGAGATGACACAGGATGGAGGTGATCCCGGTGTCAATCCCGAATAGGAGAATTGGTATGGGATGACACGGGATGGGAGTTTTTGAAAACACGTTCAAATCATATCAGACCCAAGCGGGATCGGTATGGTTCGGTATCAATGTTGATACCGTAAAAAATCTACAACTTTTCATAAATCAAGTGCAATACAACAAAATAAACAATCAAGAGTCTTGATTCAAGACCAACCAAGAAATGGAAATCTCATACAAAGTTCAAGTGAAATGGAAATCAAATCTCATATAGGCTTTTACAATAAATAAAGCCTAATAACAAACAAAACAAACAATTAATCAAGAGTTCAAGTTCAAGACATGTCAAATTACAAAGCAAGAAATGGAAATCTCTCACATAGACTTTTGCAAAACAAAATATATGTGGAGTCAGAGTAGGGTAGAACTGAAATTAAATTAGGATTAATAAAACTCATATATACTATTCGGTACGGTATGACACCAACCGGGATCACAAATGTGAAACCGATGTCGTGCCAAATAGTAACGGGATGACACGGTATCATCCCGTTTACACTTCAACACCAAACGGGACGGCACGAGATTGGCACGGTTTGGCATGGTTTCGGGATGGTTTCGGTATTCCGGTTTTGATGCCCACCCCTTTAATCATTTGAAAGGTTGCCACAAATTCGGAAACAAAAAAACTAAATAAGGACATTGGACGAGAAAAGGTTGTCTGTGCAAAGTAGATGAGCTAATTGTGACCATCAGTCTTTCTAGCACGGTAATATCATCATCTAACCGAAGTTTTTTGGCTGCAGTGCTTTTCCCATCATTTAACTGGATTTTTCTAACGATATTTCTGATCTAAAATTTAAAATACAATAATATCCAATTCTTCCGGAGAGTTCTTTGATTTTCTTTGAAAATGAAAATGCAATCCTCATACCTGGTGAATGGGACGAACTATAAAATATTTCATAAATTTTAGCTTGTGGCCAATAGTACCAACGCTCAACTAAGTGTTTCTTACATTTCATACATAAATTTATAACTTTCAGGGAAGATATGTCGAGGCATATAAAGTAGATGATCATTAATTACTGCCATAAAGGACAAAATAAAGATGAACAAGTGCACACCATCAACGGTTAACAAACCTGGCGGTCGACCTTCTTTGGTTCAATCTGTTCATCCACCTTAGGTGTATCAATTGATGGAGAATTTTCGATCTTTTGAAGTTCTTGTACCTTCGGTGGTTCCAGTAACGCTATTCCATTTTTCATCAAACTAATTTGTTCCTCCGAAGGGACCTCCATCATTGCCCACATCTCCCCTTCCTCCTCTTTCAATTCAAACCCCACAAACTCCAGCAACTCAATGCCTCCCACAACCTCACCAATGGCCTCCCTTATCTTTAGATTACTCATCCGAATCTTCCTGAACTTCACGTTCTCCGGTTCCTTAACTATATTCCTCAACAGCCTAAGAACAACCTCCACCGATCCTGTAGCCGGATTTCCTGAGGCAAAGGTGCCAATGCGAGCTTCCAATTCACTCCGAGACGACCCAACCCTGATATCCTCCGACCCTGAAACACCAAGACCCTCTGCACTTTTATTGTCCACCGAAGTATTAACACAGGAATCGACATGTACGGAGACTTCGTCTTCTGACCTAAAAGATTGGCCGCAGATTGGACATTCGTAGACATTTAGCGTATACCCATTTTGAGATCTCTTCCCCGGAGTGATCAGAGAGTCAAATGGATCAAAGCCATTTTCCGGTTTGCGATTAGGCTTGGAATTATTCGAAAACTCCGGCTTGTTCTGATCAAGAATCTGTGTTTTCTGAGGCGAAGGCTTGGGATTTGGCGAGGCAGCCGATGAACTAGAATTTGAATTTGAATTTGAATTTGAAACGGGGTTGGGCTTGGGCTTGGATTGGGGAGCCTGCGATTGGCGGAGGAGGGCCGAATTAGCGGGACCTGATGAAGACGACCCCAAGACTCTACCTTGGCCCTTGAATTTACCAGAGGATGAAGACGAAAAGGGATTTTTGATGAATTCCTTGAACTTGTCGCCCATCTTGATGTTAATTCGGCAAGGTGTTCAAACAGACAGAAGGAGAGATGCTAAAAGCAGAGGTTTAATATATGAAGCAGAACCGGAAAATAAAATTAGGGTTATAAGGGGGTTTCTTGATCAAGAGAATAGGGGTTTGATGAAGTAAGGAAAGTCGTGGTCAATTGGATTGGATTAGGAATTAACAATCAAGAATTATAAGAGCGGGAGTTGCTTGGATAGTTCCTTTCTTTGTTGACTTCGCTCGGGCGGGTTCATTGTCTAATTTTCCCCGCCAAACGGCATTTCGTCCTAAACGTCCGGGTTTCCGTCCCTGTGGACGTATTATTATTTTTACTTCTTCTTTGTGTGAAATCCTTGTCAATGTATTTATTTAATTAATATTATTAAAATGAAATTTTTATTTAGCCTTTTTCGAGTTTTCTTTTTATTGTTTTTTTGGCCCTTTGGACCCTCAGTTGTTAGTTTAAATTTTTCAAATTTTCTTAACTCGTGTTGCAATATTTCATTGGAGCATCAGCATTTTGGAAATTTGTGGTATTAGGCTTAGCTAATGCAGATGAGGTCTAGGTCGATGAGAATTCACAGGACATTTTCGACCTCATTATCATTGTCAAGGTGAGCAAAATTAGCAAAGCATCCATTCTGAACTTTAGGTAGCCACCACAGCCAACGGTGATCGGCAATCCGCACTGCAAATACATGATGTCTAGCAATATCTGTTCCTCGATACCTAACTTCCAGTGAAAATATTTACTCCCATTACAATTATTAACCATGTTACACACCAACAATAAGGATTGAATCAGAATTTTACAATCCTCGATACATGACTTCCTGTGATGTCTAAGTAGCCATCCTCCTCCAATACAGGACAAACCTGGATATCTAAGAGCATAACCTGTTCCAAATATTAATCCAGGCCAAGCCAGGATAGCTAAGAGCATAACCTATGACAAACAAACAAGCTCTAACCGGACACAAATGAGTAACAAAGCAACTGTATACCAAATACCAATGTTATTTTGAAAAGAATGGCTTTCCACTTTCCAGACAAGCCGCAGCGAAACTGACCTTCTCACAAATGGCGAGGATTACTTCTAGGCCCCAGGTTTACAAGATCCCTACAATGTACAATGACCTGTAGCATGACCAACCACTGCCTTAGTCTTAGACTGCAAAGACCCTTTTTTTTCCAGCCAGATTAGTATGATTGGCCTCTCTGCTGAGCTTTGGAATTAGAGGCCTCTTTCTAGATCTATATTTGCTCTAGACATTTTCCTCCCATCAGCACGAGGAAAACTTCCCTATACCGGATGCATGAACCGGTTGCACCTAAGTTTCTCCCCATCAGTACATACAGCTTAAAGATTGAAATAAAACCAACATAATTCTCAAGTTGAGAGGCTAAGATGAAAGCAGAGACCCAGAGAGTGAATTAACACAGCACAAGACCCAGGCATAGAAAGTTATTATGCAGACATAAAAAAGAAAAGCCTGCTGGTAAAGTTTAATCTATGGCACCTTAACTTCTAATCATCTACACCAAGATTTATAACAGAAAAGGGATCAGTCCCAGACTGTTGTTGTTCACTATCAATTGTATAAAGCATAATCCCAAATTAAATCTCACAAACCCAGATGCATATTAATCCGAACCAATGTACAGGAAAACTAGTTGGATATACAAGCAGCACATACCCTAAAACTCAAAGATCGATAACACATAATTATAGGGCAAATTTCCACAAATTCACACACAAACACACACAAATCCCTAATTTCCAAATTCACGGACACATAGCAACAGAAATTTCAAAATCCGATTAAAAAGGAACTGTCGTTAACCCAATAATAATGTCTCCACCACAAACAGAAAATAAACCTCAGAGCTCCACATCTAAGATCTAACAACAACTAAAACTTATCGAGTGGACTCAGTCGCGATTCTTCAAGCGTTCGACGCGCTGGTTCAAATGCTCGATGCGGATGACGAGGTGGGTAACGGTGTAGAGAAGCCAGTAGAAGATCAAGGCGGCAGCGATCAAGAGCGCATTGCGCTGGCTCTTCATGATCGACTTCTGGTGGCGGAGGTGCTCGGAGGGAGTGCACGAGTCGCCCTCGCAACTGGGCCGAGTCTCGTACTTCCAGTAGATGTCCATCAGCAAGAAGAGGCAAAACGGCACCACCGACAGAAACGGTTTCAGGAGATTGCGGGTGACGGCGACGAGGCCCTTGCGGAGGCCGTCGAGGCCCGGGAGCGTCAGGAGCAGGACCATGATGGCCTCTGCAGCCGCGGCGTATCCTAGAACAACCCACTCCAAAGCCATCGGATCTCAGTTGCTTGCTTTCGGTTTCTGGGTTTGGGATTGAATGAAGAAATTCTTTGCTTCGCGATTAAGGACTTTCTCGCTTTTATCTCTCTCAGCGCTATTTATGGAGGACAGGAAAAAAGTTATATTTCTCGATAAAGTCGGTTGATTGATGTTTAGGAGGTGCGGTGGAAGGCCGACATGTGGCAGACTTGTTACTTGGACTGGTGGACATTGGTGATACAGGTGGAGACCTTTTCCCAGGCCCCAAGTCTTCTATGGCACTTTTTAAAGTCGTCTGGCCCAACCCAAGTTTTGTGTTATGGATATGAATAACCCAATTACCCAACCCAAGTTTAGTTGTTTGGCCCAAACAGGTTCAATTTTATTAGTAGTAGTTTTATTTTGAGATATTTTATTAGTAGAAGATGCTCTGCTTAATTTGTAGGCAATATAAAGGTCCACTTGATTGATTAATCTAGTCTGCAGACATGATTCTAATCCTCCCCCTTCGTTAGTCATGCATCTTGTCATCTTTCTCCTCATATTCAGGCTCGCCATATCTACTCCTCTATTCATTTGTTAGTTAAAATAAATTATATTTAAAACTCGAATTTTGTGCGCACTCATAATTTCTTTAAAGAAACTAGTACGATATTATATTAAGAATCAAACGTAATTACACTACTCAATAAGAACATCCCTGATCAAATCAGACGGCAATGGCTTCGAAATACATTCTCTGCATAAAATTATCCAAACTAGGCTAAAAGCAAAGGGATAATGGATGAGTCCTAGTGTTTGTGTTTGTTCTTCTTAACTATTGAATTCAATCCATGCCAGTTGTGCCTTTAAAAGCTTCTTTTGACCAATTCTATGTCCTTGAATGTTAGGCAGCAAAGCAATGCATATTCAAATATGCACAAAGTTTCTTTGGTTAGATGAAAAGCTACACGATATTGTACTGCTTAATCCCTCATCCATATATATAGCTAACTTCATCTAACAAAACCATACCAGCTGCAATGAGATTATATGAACATGTCACAATTTAATTTTTGATTAAAATCAAAAGTTTCCCACTCTATATATAAAGTTATCAAAAGTCTCATAACACCCAACAAAGACAATAAAGAAAGAAAAGCATCACAAAGTGTACTTTTTCCACACAAATCTATGATGTTTCTACACATTATTTGTAAAACAATCTAATTAAAATTGTTAAGACTAATTGTGTGGGTGCAACGAGTAAGGAATCTTTGTGCTTTTTCTTCTTATTCATCAAAGTTTGATTTCGCTTGTTTCAAGGTACCTTTATGGCTTTATCCATATACATCTTTCTATCTACCCTCGCAATGCTTCTTCTTTAGAAAAGGAAATATGCCAGAAACTTCAAATAGCCACGGAGGGGAGGGAGGACAAAAGCTGGGACCAACAACTTAGAATTCAAGCCAAATGAAATTACCAGGGGGTAGAAAGAAACAGCTGCTGTAATTCAAATCCATCCACAATCTGTCATTTATTTACCACCTGCAAAATAATTAATATATAAAACAAGTGTAAGAGTTTATATACACCGTGGTTGGGAATAACAAAATAATGTTATCTCCGTGACATGCAATTGTTGTCGGGGGTAGAGTGGGATTAGAGAGCGGAGAAAGAGAACATATACTGTACATTTTTCCTCCTCGCACAAATACTTTCTGAAGTAAGAAAGAAATACGACGAGCAGTGCAACCCCTGCTATGACTCCAATCAATATTGCAAGTGTCTTCTCGAGCTCATCATCATTATCATCATCGTCGTGATCATCTAAAGCAGAAAAACATAAAAACAATAAGAAAAAGATATCATCACTTTAACTTTATGCACAGCAAAAAACAGAATAAAGTAGCAATCAGTCATAAAAACTGAATTATGAATGAATGAGTATGGTGATTTGATCCAACCTTAATTTAAAATGATGATATTACTGAGTGTAATCTGTTTCTTTCAACCCTAAACAGATTATGCAAGTGTTTGATTGATACTTGTGGCAGGACAGGAGGGGCAATATTTTCTTGAATTTCCACCAATGTAGAAATAATTTTAGTATAATGAGGCTCTGTTTATTGTTATCTCATCAGATTCAAGCATTGAGAACAAAACTTTAGGATACCACTAGCGCCATGGTATTGGATTCCTTTTATCAGTTCCTGATGAGGCAGAAATTCAAAGTGGGGGGTCTCTTTGTCCCAATTGAGATGCACAAATTATTACAACTATGAGCTTTTGAGATAGCTTTTTTGTTACACAAGAAAAAAGTCCAATCACTTGAGTAATGCAATTTTCTTTTGCTTCTCTTTGCATGGCTCAACTGTCAATTAAAGAAAAAAGAAAACATGTTTATATTCATACACACAATATGAATGAACTTGTTAAGGCAAGGCAACGAGAGCTAGCCAAAATGCAAAATCCATTATCCATCAAAAGCAGAGGAATATAATAAGTTAACCACTCTGGAAAACTAATTAAGTACTTCTAATCACCACCGAACACTCTACACACAGGCATAAATAAAGTACATCAAACCAAACCCTGCTCACTGATTAAACAGGGGACAAGGATTTTTATAATTGCAGCACTCTTCTAGTAGTAGTAAATAGTAACACACACACACACTTATACATGCACAACAATTCTTCAAAACATTAAAAGGTAATTTTCATTTTAACAAGAGAGAAAATAACCAAACCCCAGAAAGTGGAAACCACCATCCGGGGTGGCGAAACTGCTTACCATGACCGCCGTTGGATTGGTAGCCACCTTGCGAATAGCGCGCGTAGCACTTAGCCAAGAACATGTCCCCCCACGCGCTCGGCCCACAGCCTGATTTGAGCTGCGCGATGGCCTCCGACAGACAATCCTGGCACTCGCTCGGACTCAAGTCCCCGACACACTGCGCCACACCCTGAACATTCCCGGAGCCACTCACCCTGTACGGCCTGTAGGTCCCGTCTCCGGTCCCAAGATACCCCAGCACGGCAT